AAGAGCATTAGCATGGTAAAAAAATTATTTGAGGATTAATCCTCTCCATAATTATCATGATTTTCTCGCGAATTAAAAACTGATCAATGATTTCACTAGAAAAAATTGATTGTTCCAACAAATCATGATTATGAAATTAACTGAATTAGGATCTGTCATGGTATCTGAACTTCGTATTTTAGTGTTGGGACCATCGAAGGGCTAACGACCGCTCACTGAAGCGAAAGAGAGTGAAGGCTCGTCAGGGTCCGTCACTATAGGCCGCCTAAAATAAGACTAAAAAAAAAGTAACCCCTCAGATGATTCCCCCGAATTTCAAAACCGCCTCCTTTGTTCCTCCGGCTCGTTAAAATATTCAAGTCGTGCCAGAAAAACTCGTTTCTTTATTTTTTTTTTCTGGTGCCTTGAGTTGGGCCGCCAATTCCTTGAGCGGATGTGCGTCGACACACCGAAAACCGCTGTTGTTTGAATATAGAGGTGAGGAGATAATCGTCAGTTATGCCAAGCGGTTGTGTTCCACTGTTCCTCCAGTTACATAATTCAGGTTTATTCCTAAGCAGACGGAGTTTAACAGCATTGCGGGGGGGTATATAAGGTTTTTGGTTGGATTGGCCAGAACTCCGGGGAATCCCGTGTTTCTCTACCTTCTGGAACGAGCAATAATTTTCCACCGTCGACGACGTTCCCAGACACTGTGGCATGCCTTTAAGTGGAATGATCATTCACACTGGATTAACACTTGTTCTATCACCACCGGAGAGAATTCCGATGAATTCCAGTGAATATTCAGGCGAGATTAGGGCTAAATCTCGCAAGAGGTCTTTATTTGTCTGAATTTTTTTCGAATGGAAAAATCAATGGGTTTTTTTTTCTCGAGGGGATTAATTAGTCAGCTGTCTGATTAGATCGCCAGGAAATACCACCCCAATATAATGAACACTGATAGCAAACAAGCATTGCACTTAATAACAACAAATCCTTAACAAGACACTGCTGATAGTGAATTTAAACTACTAATTTAAATAAGCCTTATCATTCGATACAGAATGAGGGTACAACGTACATGCGTACGCATAAGTTTGATAATCTCGACCGGTTTCAGCACATCGTGAATCTTGATGCAGGATTATGGTAATTTCAGTTGGCACTGATAGTGCGTTAATAGGATACCAACGAAAAATCCGTATAATTTCATTTGAATTCGTTGTGGGGAAAATGTTGAGGAGTTGAGTGATTTAATTAAAATTATTGGATTAAGTTCTGGAAAAAGAATTCGGGAAAAAATCTGGAAAATTTCAGACAGAAGAAAATTATTCGTTTGTCTGAAACTCAACGCTGGGAGATTTAAATCAATTGAAACTCGGTTAGCCGTTGTATGCGAGAGCAAGTTCACTCATACCGAGGTTGTTCAGTATAACGCCCATACACATTTAACATGATGCATTGTTCTGAATTTCTGTCTCTCTTTCTCGGTTACTCCGCTTGTGAAAACCACGCAGTCATATTTTTCACCCATTCCCTTATATTTACGTTCCCTCGCACGATAAATTCACTGCCATGCGAGTGATTTTCTCCGTGGAATGAATGGTTCCTTTATTTTATTTTTTTTCGCCCCCCTCCCCGTATTTTTCTGTGGGAGACGGCACTTTAAAGGTTAAATATTGTTTTCGGTGTAATTAGCTGTTTTAATCAGGAGCTTGTAAATTAAGGAATTATGAAAATGATGGAAATTATGGAAATTATGGAAATCATGGAAATAATTATTGTGTCACTAAAAATAGCAGTTGTTTGCAATTTGTACTTTTTATTGCTTCGCGAAATACTGCACCGACGGATCCGATAGTTAATCAGAGCGAGTAGTAGTTTTTCCCACAAGAAACGAAAAAAAAGAGAGAGAAAATCAAATGCAAACTGTGGAGTACAAATGAGTTTGTAGGAGTCGTGAAGACGAGGGACGAACACGCTCGGTGGATCCCTGAATCATGCGTCGTGGAGAATTAAGTCTCATTGCGTGTGTACTTTTCTGCACGGTGTATGCTCTCCAGAGTTGCATCGAGTTCCAGAGAAATACCGTTCACTCCACCGAGAGAATCGCTTGGATTCGTGGAGGAGGTAATTTGACGAGTGTAACTGACACGCTATGCCACTTACTATTCCGATTACTAGCGCTATCCTTCTGCACTACTGCCGATTGATTATCCCTAATGGAGGTTTTCGTGACGGAATGGATGAGCATTTGTTATCGGATATCCGGAATTTGTAGGGCTCATTTCATTGTAGGGCTTTTCTCTGCTTTTCCGGGCGAATAAATAATTTTTATTTAATTAACTGTTCATACTATTTCCTGGATCTTCACATTGAGTTTCTAAAGCAATTGAAAATTCAGGGGAAAAGAGAGAGATACTTAAGGATCTTCGGCAAAAGCGCCAAATCACGGAATGGTCGTGATCCCGCGATTTGTGAATCTCGGCAATAGAATCACGTGGATGTGGGCACCTGCGGTGTTGAATTACCAGTGTTCGGTGCACGCGAAACAATTAAGATGGGGTATCTCGTCGTATCGGGCAGTTCTCACGTTACCCCGGGGTAGCTCTTGAGTGGCGAGTCGAATGGTGTACATTACTTCCATCGAAAATTAATTAAAAAAAAAAAATAAGTCAATTTACCACCCCCGAATCATTGAATATTTAGCGGTGCGATTGGATCGACCTTGTAAGATTTTAAAACTTAAAATCTTGCCAGTGAATTTCATCAATTTCATCTCGAGCGAAAGGGCCTCGCCTCTCCCATAAAACCGTGAAAGTTTGATTTTACTCTTTTATGTTCTACTCAATACGATGAGAGTGTGGCCTTCGACCTCGGAAAAAACGTATCTCAATGGTCTTCCACATGCTGGCAAAAAGCCAGGAGAACAGGTGCAATCACCCCACCGTCAGGGGGTTGGGGATTATAGAAAACCCGCGAGCGTGGCACAACGGCTTTTCCTCACTCGGGAAATTCAACTTCCTCATAACGTCCGCAAAAATTTCCCTCCAATTTTATAACCGCGCGGGACTATTCGTGCGTTACCACTGCATACGCTATTTAATTTTGCTAAATTTCCTCTCATCCCGAATCTTGGCAAAATTGTGTGCATTATCTGTTGAACTCCATGAAAATTAGAGAGCTGTAAAAAAAAACAAAATTTTTAATCCGTAATTCCACCGAAAAATCCTTTGAAAAAAGAATCCCGGAAAAACTCCCCGAAAAAAATCGTATTATGTCCTCCTGTTATAAAAAGGACAAGCATCGAGACTTTCGTAATACGTCGTGTAATTATTTTTCAATTATATACCGCGTGCCATCCAGAAATATCAGTGGCAATAAAAAAAAAGCACGTGAATTCCGACGGAGAGAAGTAAACCCGTAACTCATAATTTTCGTTCAATCCGGTGCAACATACTTCTTCGCTTTGCCTTTTCAATTGTACAAAAGGTGAGAAGTGAAATATGCTTTTAGCTGATTGCATGTTATTTGTGAGTAACTCCGGCGTTTGGCTCGCCTTCGTGAGAGAAGCTACATCGTGGAAAAGACGTTTGAAAAGAAACGCGGGAGGTCGAATGGATCCATAAGTTTTTGAAAGTGAGTGAACGGAATCGGCCTGGTGGGGTTATATTTTCTTGTACAAAAGAATTTACAGGTCCTCAAGTACTTTTTCTTATTTTACCTGCGACAATTTACTAGCGAATCGGTAAAATGGTTCAACGCAATCGGTCAGTTTTCGAGAAATATCTTGAAATATGCGCCAAGCAGCGTAATTGAGGTAATAACCTTTTTTGAAAAACTCTCCCAGACCTGCAAACGAGGTCCTGACAAAAATTTCGGTATCCGCATTAGATCCCGAGATATTTGTGAAAAATTGAACATTTCGACACTTAGCTACTGAATTTTTTTGTGGATTGCTGGTGCAATTAAAAAATACCTTATTTATCTTTAATCTTCGTGTTTTGTTTCGTCCCCCGTTGGATTTTCCGTACACGGCTAGAAAATACGGTTTAAAAGGCGATAACAATAAATAAGGGAAGATCGTAATTCTCGGCGTGGCCGGGGTCACCCCGAGATTCATAGTTCCGGTGCACCTTTTGCAACCAAGCCAAAAATCCCCTGCACACACTATCACGAAGTGTACTCACGTGCCAGAATCCTCTCCGGTTCTACCATTGCTTTTTTTTTATTATTTATTTTTTTGCTTCACCGCTGTATACCTGCATCGGTATTTACGCGCTCTGTATTGCACCAGAGTGTCGATTCAATTTGATGCAGTGTATTTTCAGTAAAAAAAGAAAAAATGACAATGAAAATACAGAAGGAGGGGAAAAAATTCAAATGATTGCCACGTTGACGTTCATATCGTGCGAACATTTGACATTCCGTAATTCGATGTTCCGTCTCGGCTGTTGGGGATGTGATAGAATATTAATGAATGAGGAAAAGGGGGGGCTAATGGAACCGGAGATACATCTCCACGTATATGGATAATCTGAAATTTTAAAGAGCCCTTGCAGACGAGATCCTCAAATGCTTTGTATTTTCGGGGGGGAATCCGATGGGGAGAGCAAACGAGATGCTCCAGGCACCGTGTTTCCGCCATTTCCAGGGCCTTCCATTTCCTCATTGTCTCGGTTCCACGTCTCTCTCTTTCCAGTCTTCTGAAGTCCTCCGGTGAATGTATCTCATTGCTCTGATATTTTACCATTTCCGGATGTGCAGGTTGTGGAGTTTATTTGCGGGTGCAAAAAATCGGGGTTAATTCGGTGAGACGTTAGCCCCAGGGGTGGTAACTTCTTTGAGAAATTGTAGTTCTCAAACCGGAAATTTCATTGGTAAATCCAATTCATCGGGGATTTTCACTTAAGAAATTCTTTGAGTTATTTTCATTTCAATCTATTTCTTCATTTTTATTCTGTACGACTTACGCGAAATGTAAATGTAAAGTAATTGTATTTTTCTTTGTGTTTCAGCCTCCCACTGCCACATCATCAAAACGTCCAATGGTGAGTCGAAACAAATACAATTTTCATAATTTATGAATCATCATTCATTACTCGGAGTAATGAATAAACCCCGGGGGGAAAAAAAAAGCAAAAACCAGCACAAATAGACAATTCGAGAAGCTAGAGGCGCTCGATTCATCTTCCCCCTCATAAATAATTTATAATCCTGGCCAACGGAGGAGGAAAGCAAAATGCTGGGCCTCTGGATACACGGAGAAAAATGTGTGCACCTCAGGTTGATACGACTTACAACCTTGCGGGGTTGTTTCTCCGATGGGGTGAAATAAAGAAAGATAAGCGGGACTCGGTGTAACTGGCGAACCGAGCGAAAAGTTTTACGACGCCTCAGTTTTCCCCACTTTATGCATACACATCTCGAATTTTACTTCGACATCCGGAGTTGTTTTTCGCTCTATTTGAGAACACCATTACCGCATGAGGGCGTCATTTATCCGATAACAGCGTTTTCATCAAATTTTTTAAAATTCATTCTGTTGCCAAGTGATATTACATCAGTCGAATTGACAATCTTTTATCATTATCGCTGCATCTCCACAGCTGATGATTTGAGTTTAAAATGTGAGAGGACTTTTTTGTAGCTATTTAAATTTCTTAAAAAAAAGGTCTTTTGACATTTTTCTCTATTCAACGTTTTTTTTGGATAAATTGATATTCAAAGATCATGGAAAATTCGACTTTTATCGCTTTTTTAATTATAAACTTCTCTCAATTACCGATTAATCGCGAAACCAGTAACTTTCCGGGAAAAACTCACTAGAGTTTTTATTCAGTTGATTAAATTCCAGACCGAATGTGTCTTTTGAGATTTCTTCCTAAAATTACAAGATCTGCCCAAATCGCTGTTCAACAAACGATAAATTTCTTTCCAATGGAAATCTCGAGTTGGAGACAGCAGAAAATAATATAATCGCCATAAAAACGAAAAAAAAAGAGAAGTAGTCAGTCTCGTTACATAATTAACGACTAGGTAAAGCCCTCAATCCCGGTGATTGGGCGGTGCCTCTCACCTCCGTAATTGGACATTTCTTTTTCCCCAGATTTATGAGTTTAGTTTTAAATATTTGGCGTGTCGGTTGCCGGGTAGAGACGCGCCTGCGCGCTTGCAGTTATATATTCGCATACTTGATGTATATATATATTCTTCTTCATTCTGTATAACTGTCTCACTTGAACATCACTAGCACCTGTACCCACCCACCGGTCCGACCAAAGTCGAGGGGAGTCGAATTCCTCTCTCTCGCGATAACTCCTTCGCCTGGCGACAGGAGCTGAATAGACACCCCCTTGTCGCTACGAGGGCCATTCATCTATCGATCGACATCAAATATAGAGCTTTCACTATGCAATCATTCATTCCCCTCGGTAACAGTACCTATTTCAGCTGCATATTGAGTTCCTCGCGGTTTTCAGAAATATGACAGAGTTATAATTTCATTTCGCTCCCCAAAATCTTTCTCCTCGCAATCACTCCCAAACCTGTCGATTCAATCGAAAAAACGTAAAAGACTTTTTTGTAGGTAATCAAATTCATGATGTAAAACATCTTTTCATATTTCCTCGTTAAATCAATGGTTTTCAAGATTTTTCGGTATTTAACTGGCTGCCGAAGTTAGCATTTTTATGAATTACTGGGTCATCTACAGAATTATCGAGTTCAGGGGAAAAACTGAGAGGATTTTTTTGTAGGGAGATTAAATTTTGAAAAGATTTCTGGAACGATTTTTTTTTTTACATTTATTTGGGAATTTTATTGGGAGTAGTTTTTGAGATTAATTGACCTGAAGTGGTGGTTCATCGAATTTCTTTGGGTGAACGAGTGTGGGGCGGGATTTATGACGTTTGACGGTGAATTTTCAGGGGAAAAGTGCAGGGAAAAAATTGACTGCGTCCATATATTCTTGGGAGGGGTGGGAGGAGGTGAATTTTTGGTGATACTAAAGCGAGAGACGATGGGTAACGGGAGAAGTGAGATTTTCAACTCGGGGACTTATTCTTATGTGAAGCCCGCAGCATAAGATATTCAAATGAAATGTCTACCGGTGGTTCCTCGTATATATGGAGGGAAAAAGGAATATAAAGGAGGTGGCAAGCTCACATTGCCGTTGCTATACTGCTCTCTTTATTGGGTAGGGTTTTACCCGTACGTTAGTATATGGCTTTATACAAAAGACGCCGCTGACACAGGAGACGGAATATATTGTCCGCTGACAATTTCCTCAACAATGTGAGGATTTTCCTTTTGAAAAAAAATATTGAAATCCCTCATTTTTAATATTGCCAACGCGACTAAATCGCTCGCAGTCCTTTCAATTATCCTTCATTATCAAATTATCGGGTTTCTCATTTTTTTCCCAACTATTTTTCTTTCCGTCTTTTTCTAAAATCAAAAAAATATTCTTCCCAGGGAAAATATTTGCAGATGAATTAAGGGAGATCATTGAAATAAATTAAATAAAAATCTCGGGAATCAAGTGATTTTTTCAATTTTTTTTTTCAAACAATCATTCTCGGGGAGGAAAAAATATTGAGCGGCATTGATAAATCCATCCCTGGAATAAACAAATCTACCGGAACGTGGGGAATGGAAATGAAGTTTTCAGTGATATCTGCTTATTTCAGGGCTTAGATGAAGCCCCGAGAATAATATTCGATATATGCCGGTGGCTTTTGCAACGATATCGTTGCATACATCGATAGGAAATACGTAGGGATCATTATCGAAACCCCACACCTCCATACCCCCATACCCGTTCCCAACGCGGAAAACCGCGGCGATTAATATTCATGGGGGTGGTTTCATGTTTCGATCACCTCTTAGTTCACCCGATCGGCGTAAAGTTATAACGTTTATTCGGTGACAGGTAAAGAGCACTCCCCCAGAGCATATTCTGAAAATATTAAACAATAATCAAGTCCACCGAGAAAACTTTCCACTTCAATATATTTCTACTACATCATTGCATTATTTATTCCGCTTCACGTCGTCAAAGACAATATCTATGAATTCTTAGTACGTCAATGCAATTATCTTATCATTCTGACTAGTCAATTCGTTCTGTTAAAAAAATATTCTATTAATACTTGATTCGTTCTCCGATTTTAGGAATTTTTCGGAAAACCTTGGGTTTTCCCGGATAATAAAAATCTCAGACGTCTACCTCTATAGAATGACGGGTGAAGGGGGTAATCAGGTATTTCTGCATTTAACTCGCACTTGAAGAGAAAAAAAATGGATTTTCGATTGTAGTTAATCGGAATTTTGTGGTAGAGTCAACTCGGAAAGTTGACGATGCAGCTGCGACGTACTTGCTCTATATTATAGTCCCTTGGCAACAGGGAACGCTCGTTATGTTGGCGTCAACGTCATGACTTGACTGTTGCATTTCCTCCCTTTGGCCAACCTTGCGGCCATATATGTTAGACCGACATAAAACCCCTTCCATCATCCCTCACCAGGTATTCGTAGTTTCTTCGATGGATTGGTTACGATCATGCCCACCATATCATACTTGCACACCCCAGTCTTACGGGATTACACGAGTTTCTCCTCAATCTCGTTATTTTTACGATCCGAAACTATCAACTGCCGCAGCGATATTAAATTCCGAGCTTCAGAGAATCGATTTATCACTCGAAATGGTGATTGATGCTCACGGGGTTGTGGCATTAATACCTCTCCAATTCGAACCTTTTTTCTTTTTTTTTTTCATCAATTTTTTGGATTTTACAACTCCGGTCAGCAAATTTTTTCTGTTGATCAACTCAATCTGGGCATTGGATTTTATTAATTGAAATCGTTATTAACATTAATTTAGTATAATTGCAGTTTGCATTAAATTCAATGAATTCTCGTTCTTCAGTGATTTTTTAAATTTTTCATCGCCATCAATTAATTGATGGCATGCTTCCGAACAGCTAGAGAGAATGCGCAAATCTTTGTATGCACTCTGATTTTTTTGAAAGATCAATCTTTCGATTTAAAATTTTGCGGTGAACATGTGTCGAATTAGAAAATTTGGTAAATAATCGAAAATTTCCTACGATGGGATATCTGACTTGAAAATATCCTTCATTGTTTTGATTAGGAAATTATTGTGAAAAAAAAAAGAAAAATTGAAATATCTCGAGTACTCAGCACAGAGGAGCATATATATTTTTATTGATTGAGATAGGGTACCGAGAATATTCTGCGAGGTGAAAAATAAAAATCGGCCGTATAGTTTTCTCGAGCTGAATTTTAGCACAGACTTAGTCTTCAGTAATGCCGATAATTTGGCGAAATTTGACCTTTCCTGGAACAACTTCAGTCATTTACTCCTTTAATTACCTAAAAGAATTGGCGACGGTGACCATGGTGCTTAAATTTTATATTTCAACGTTTCAGACCATTTTACATCATTTCCAAACAAAATTAGAAAGCAAAAAGAAAGCAAAAAAAAAGACTTCGTTTGTGAACTTCACAGTATAGGATTTCCTCACACCCGGTGCCCATTAAATTGGCGAAAAAATAAGGTGCAGTGTATACAATCCGAAAAGATCTCTTTGAACATCTCAATTTCTATCAGCACGTGTCCCTCTGCCTCCAGCTGTGCCCTTCTTTTATCCTCGGCCAATGGCACCGCTCCCTCGGTATTCTCCACCGTGACATCAGCCATTTACTCTTCCCAGAAATCCCCCCTCCCCCCGTGCCCTTACAGTTCTCTCGCGAGCCCTTTAAAAGTTTAAAGGGCCCAGCCGTTGTCACTCCTCCTTCCCTAGATCTGTGGCCCTTTAAGGCCACCGAGGGAGATGTGGGGTTTTACGAGCGCACGTTTCCCCGGTGTGATGGGTGTTACGTGTCATCCAGATGTCGGAAAATAACCAAAAATTATTTCAAACGGCTTTTCCACATTTTCCGATATTTTTCCTTCCCCATTTCGATGAAGCTCCAGATGCCCAGAAAAAATTCACAAGAAAATCATTTCGGAATTTCTTACACAAATAAAGTCACGGTCTGAACATAAACCGATGGAGAAAAATTAAAAATTATTATTTTATAATTGAATTGAAATAATTTGTGCGAATAGATATTTGGTTTTTGTGGACAGCGGGGAATGAATTTGGAATAACTGACTTTGCCCATTTCTGCGATAAAGAAGATATACGTTCGTTCTTCGTCATCACCGGGGAAATAGCCAGGAACACCACTAGCTTTTTACCTGTATTTCTACCCAAGTGTGCGTTAAAGCCACTGAAAAAAAAAAACCGAGTCATTGACTATTTTTACGATCCGGCCCACGTGATCTGTGCGACCGTTACGTAAATCGCTCGAGAGTTACCGGGATTACACTCCGAGTTAGCTAAAAACGTCATAAATATTTCTCGACACTTAATCGACTTCTCTGAACTTGTAATTGCAATTTATTACTGGTATGAAGAAATAGAATTCCCAATCAAGAGCATTAAATTTATATTTTCATGACATCGGGATAAAAAGAAGTGACGGATTTTAAATGAAAAATTAAATAGAGGGGAGGGAAAGTCTTTAATGGTATTTAGATCGTTATTGGAGCAATCTGTAATGATTATCTGAGAGTATTAATCTGACAATTCCAATAATTCTCGGTGGAAAATCCGTTGATTATTGTTCACCCGATCCCCTGGAATTATTTCATAATTTTCGGATTAATTGCGGCGATTGCCTGGGCCTTCCACCTGGACTAATACCCAAGAGATGAGGATGCGCCTCGAGGCCTTCGGCGACCGTCGACTCTAGATAAGGCTTTATCCTCGTTAACTGCTCCACCATTTGCACTCATGTTGTCGTATAAATAACGATGAAAATACCAGAGGTTGAACACTCGGCTGAAGACGATGTTCTTTATTATGGTATCATCCGAAGGGTTTGACAAATGCCAAGTCTCAGAGCTACTGAAAAAAAAAAAATCATCAATTGATCTATATTCATCGAGTATTCAATTAAGAAAGTAATGAATTAAATGATTTGGCGAATACATCGGATAAACATGATGAAGTACCACGAAGTAAAGATAGAAGTAAGGATAGAATTGGAGAATGGGAGGTGGTGGCGCCAACTTTACCTTCACCCGAGCTCTTTTGCATACTTGAATCCTCCTTTCTCGTAGACGAGGCTTTCGGTTGTCAGGCTTAACGACTTTTCGTAATACGTTGACTGTGTGATGGCAACTGCGGAAGGGGCACGGGGAAAGAGAGAAAGAGTGAAGAGTGAAGAGTAACTTCGTTTCCCACTTGGAAGCGCCGAATGGTTTGGAATAATTTATAATTAACATAGACGTGATTCAAGCGGAATTGAAATGAAACTTTAATTGCGGAATGGAGGAAATGTAAAATTAACAGAGTGAGATACCGAGGTGAAATCGATTTCGTCTGTATTTCAACCAAATTGATCAATTGATTAACGTTTAATTTTCATTTTCTCTGGGCGTTAAGTGATTTCGTTTACCATGAAGAGAGAAAATTTACTGGGAGATTCTCATCCGGCAATTACTTGTATTCCGAGTAATCTCTGACACGTCCAAGAGCCATTGCTGCATTACCAGATGTGCACTCGAAATCCATTCTCCTGTCGATGGGTTGACTCGTTATTTCTCTCCACATGCTACCATACCTCTCTTTATTTCTCGCTCATCTCGCACTGTTTCAAACGATATAATTGCAGACTATCGGCCGTCGCGAATCGCTATTCTGCGGTCGAGCTGGAGAGCACAAGGGACGATTACAACCGTTGAGAACGTAATCGCGTGTGCACACCGGTAACTTTCCGCTCAGTCTTCTCACTTATTTTCCTCTCTCTCGTTTTGCCATACCCTGCAAAACGTCCAAACGCCGGAAAACGTTTTGCCTTTTCTCGGTATAGCGTCGCAGCTCAATTTCAGGATTTTAACTTTTTTTTATTGGGCTTCGGAGAATTTCTTGCGATTAATCTTTATTATTTAATCGCTCAGATTGTTTCATTAGGATTTTTCAAATACCGCGCTTCCGAGAACTTTTTCACGCAAACTCGATGAAAATAAAATGCAATTATTCCTATAATTGTACACTTTATCTGAAACTCAGCGTTTTCATGAATTTTTTCGATTTATTAAAATTTTAATTATTTGATAAATTGATTTTTGGATGATTGAAAGGGAATGATATTGACTAAAATTTTAATATCTGCGCGCGAGGTTGCCGCAAGGTCCATCAAAAATTAATTAATTCCCTGAATTATTTATAAATTTTCAGCAAGTAGAAAATCATTATTGATGAAATTTCTGTCGAAATCACTGATTTTTTTAAATTCTCGTCGATTTCTGCGCAATTGATAATTATTCGCTATTCCTGGCCTTTTCAATCAATTAAAAATGTAATTATCTGTTAAATTAGCATTTTCGACGAATGACCGGTAAATTGTGCAATTTTGATGGGGAAAGGGTAATTTTTTCGGGGAGTAATTTGAAATTTTTTGATAAAATTCTGGGAATGCTGGGTCCGAGACGTCTCCTTCATAAGTTGACCCTCGAAAAAGACGTAAGCGCCGTTTTGAGGGGAGAACCTAAAGGCCTCTTGGAACGACGCCAAAGTACCGGGCATTCTACTCTAGATACCCTAACCCAGTAAACCCCAATGACGGTGGTTAGCTGAAACAATGTCTGAACTACAGTAAATTCAGTTCAGTCACATTTTCCCGTGACTCCTGAAAGTCGAAATTTTTTTTTTTTTCAACTCCCCACCGTATTACCATTTCGGCCAATTTAATTCCATAATTCCAGAGAGAATAGGCGGATAAGTATAGAGCAGAGTTCAACCCACTTCTTGCTAAATTATCATCATTACACATTTTTTCTCCCTCTCTCCCCTTCGCTCTCGAGTTTAAAATTTTCATTCGCGGTTTTTCTGTGAATTGAAACAGGAGAAACGACCGGTTAAAGACGTATTAGATAAATTTCTGGGAAGGGAGTGTCTTGCACGCCTCAATCAATTGAACAAAATTTATCTCCCGCGTGAAACTTTCAATTGGCGAATATTACATGCGCTTTTTACGTACCGGGGCATTAAATTCACTTCAATTATCCCGGAAGTATTATCATAAACAAACTGGTGAATTAACACATAAACTCGTTAATACCGCAGGTTTCGTGTTTAGGTATATTTTATGTCAATTGTCCAATTATTATTTCTGTATTAGCGAGGTGAATTATTTGTTGATTGAAAAAAATAACCTTAATGTATGATGTTAAATCATGCGAGACGAATCTCATCCACCTACTAACCCAACGACCATAAAAACTATTTTACCGGAGCGATTGCGATCCATCGATCAAATGGGGGGCATGGAAAAACGGGAGTTGAGACGTAAAGAATAGGAGAAACAGGAATAAAAATGTGAGGCTAAAGGGAGGGCTTGGCAATTGGGCAGAGCTACATGGGAGGGAGCAACTGGCCCATTAAACTGGAGGAAACGATCATAAACCATTTTCCGGGAGGTCGCCGCGAAACTACGTCTAGGGGGTTGAAGAACATCGGGAGGGAAGAGGAAAAGGGAAAGCAATTGACGTCTGTGGGAAGTTCGATGAAAGTGAATGGCAGTTGGCATCCCTCTGTACTGTGCAATTGATTTTTTATTAACCTCTCAGTACTCACACTCTTTTTGAATATTCTCATTTTTTATTACAGCTCATATCTCTCGATTACGCAATGTTTGGGTTTTATTTATTTTATTTTATTTACTATTAAAATTCACCGATTTCTCCGGGAAATTTGGAGATTCATTTTCTGAATATCTGATTTTCTCTACTCCGGGATATTCAATATTATTCGACATGCCGTCGCTCTTAGACGATCTTGGTACTCACCCCGTTCGGAAAATTCACCGAGAAAACAAAAACCTCGGAAAAATGTCCAATATTCCGGGGGAAAAAACATCCAAGGGCTCGGGAGAATGAAAAACAAATGTTTGCCCACTGACACGAAAATCTAATAAAACCGAGGAATTCATATTCTTCCACGAAAATTGGGGGAAGTGAAAATAATTGAAACTTTTCGGTGGCAAATCAATCGAATTTTAGAATTTCCCGGATGAGTGAGAGATCGAATTAATTTCAATTCTTCTATTATATATTTATGATATCCCAATGGATTTTAGGTATAACGTAAAAAATTGAATGTGACTTATCGAGTTGATATCAGCGTGCGCAATGCAACACAAATTAATAAATTTTCATTTTGATAGGAATCCCGGGTAAGAAAAAATTGTAATCGGAATATTTTTTCCAAATTTTCAAAATTTTCTGGAAAACTTTTCAGAAATTTTTTTTTTATGAAACAAGAAAAAATTGGACAACAAAACAATTTTATTTTTGGAAAAGGTTTTAAAAAATTTTTCAAAACAGTACCCAAAAATACAATTGTGCTGTCTGCCGATTTTTTTCGGTCCGAAAAAAAAATTTACTGAAAAATTTTCCAGAAAATTTTGAAAATTTGAAAAAAAATATTCCGATTATTTCTTTTTACCCGGAATACAACTCGACCTAATTAAAAATTCAGTTACCAAGGTAGGAATTTAAAACTTGACACTTGAATCCCGTATAAAATACCCACATCAATGGATTTTAAATTTTGGATGAAAAATCGACTGAATTTTGAATAGGATATGAACGTTTGAGTTTACGTAATGCGCGTGACCAGTATAAAGCCAAGATATTGCAGGGACGCCGGACTGTCTGCGATATACCATTGTCTGTACGTGAGAGATGCCCTGCATACATTCAAAGAGGTGAATACATCTGTGTACATCACTGTGGAGGAGTAAATGGAGTAAAATGAATAGAGGTGCGCACTCCGGGTGGGTGGGAAAAGGGGGTGGGCAGAAGTGATTAGGCAACTGCGGGTGCGTCCTATGTGTCATCTCTATACATAGATGAGGTGGGGGGGGGAGGACATTGATTGCGTGTGCTGACATTATGTGTATGCCGGCTTGGCCACGCGAATTACACCTCGGCTTGTGTCTTTCAATTCACCCGGCTGTTACGTCAGGGCTTTGATTAGCTCGTAAAATTAGATGATTAGTGACGCCCACTAATTGGCCGGATTTTTCGGCGAATATTTGAGACACACTGGGACAAGAATCAAAGTTCACTCTTTCACTGGCGGACAGACGAAAAAATATTTCGCTTTTATTTTTATTTATTGATTTATTCAAAAGATTATTATTATTATTATTATTATTTGTTTTATTGATATGCGATTAGTCCGGTTTGATCATTAGGAATTAATTAGAGTCATTTTTTGGGGGGAATCTCAAATTCTGTTTTTTTTTTGGATTTATGAGATTATTAGGTGAGGAAATATGACAATTTTCTTGTAGAAATTGTTAATTTCCACTTGCATAATGGAATTGATGAGTCGATGGGGATCCAACAACTCTCTTGAAATAATCGATAAAACGGTAACGCAGGGTGAGTCATAAACGACGCGTTAAACCTGTCTGGACTGGGGCGATTTATACGGAAAAGTCATTACTCGTATGATGCAAGTGCAATGGTGAGTTGCGAGAGTAGATGACCTTGAATGTTGCTGGTAATTCGAGCAAAAAGGTGAAGAAATTTTCTAGTCGGGTTGTCTTCACCGGGGATCGAGTGAAATTTTCTTCGAAAATTTCTCTTTGCGATTCTGTGCTATTTTTTCTTCTTGATAGCACTCATAGAAAATAAGTCCTGAAATTGAAAAAAAAAAAATTTTTTTAATTATTTTTAATGCGCAATTCGATTTGACTTTTTGATTTTTTATCTTATCGAGCTTTTTTGATGAAGCGAATCAGTCATTCAGGTGGAGACAGTGGGAAAAATTCGAAAGCTCGATATTTAATTTCTCGGTTATGAGTTGTATTGTGTTTTCTCTGTACGCCATCGGGAAGATATATTTTTTTTTTTTACACTCTGGATGGAAAAAAGGTAAATGGTGAGGTAGAGCGATCGATAGCCCAGGGCTGCCTTTGGTATATTCCGCATTTGATTCAACTTCCGGCTCAGTGGGCATACCTTTACCTTTTTCCTCACTGAGGGAAGATAAAAAGACGAGCCGAGGAAGAGGAGAATATAGGAGAATGATAGGTTGACGGATGAAAATGGAGACTTGAATTCCCTGGGAATTGTTTCAATTTTAATTAACAAATGTATTATTCTCGCGCGAATATTTTGTACGCTGTTATTTTCCACGGGGAAAAATATCAGGTATTCTCTCGAAAATCAGCTCTAATCGAAAAGCCATTTCTCGAAATCGATTTTCACGTCGTGCATTTAACACACTGTTATTTGTCTTCCGTTTTGAGTGTACACCCGAGGTACAAACACGTGCCGATTTTTTTCGCCTGTCAACGCAGTGAGAATCCATCCATAAATCATGGTTTAATTTCGAGGTCATCACCGGAAAATAACGAATGAAACATCGCGGGAATAGGGGAGGGTTACAAAAAACATCAACTGCTATACCCGATTTTATTATTTGATGAATGATTCTTCTAAATTGGACACGTCCATTCTCACTAGTCGTCTCTCACTTCCGCATTTAAATTTTCGCTGATTCTTCTTGAAAAATGAATTAACAGAATAGAAATAGGAATTCAAGAATATTTTTCCTGAAATATAGAAAAATTTAATGAATTGGAATTGAAAAAGGGTGAGGTAGGAGATATAAGTGAATTCCCGGGTAA